TCACCCTTCTTTTTCTGCTGCAGCTCTACATCCTGAGCCAGGGTCAGTGCATCTTCAAAGGCGTGGTCACCAATCTGATCCCCTATCTGAAGGGGCTCGGCTTGCATTGCCCCACCTACCACAACCCGGCTGACTTCAGTACGTGGGGGCTGTTGGAGGGGCTGGGATGCAGCGGTGCCCAAACTTAGGGCTTGGTTCCTACACTCAGGAGATCTGTCATCTGCCTTCCCCATGCACCCACAAAGGGGTTTCTGTGTCCTTGGGAAGTAAGGGCGAATCTTAGCTGAGCACTTCGCTCTGTGTCCCCAGTCATCGAGGTGGCCTCTGGCGAGTATGGAGACCTGAACCCCATGCTGTTCAGGGCTGTGCAGAATGGGCTCTGCGCCATGGCTGAGAAGAAGAGCAGCCCAGAGAAGAACGAGGTCCCTGCCTCCTGCCCCCCTTGCCCTCCAGTGAGTAGGGGTAAAGAGAGCAGAGAAGGCAGAGTGGGGGAGGGGAGGCGGAACCAGGGACAGAGGCATCACAATTTGGGGGTATTAGGAAGAACCTAGGACTTGGGATTGGACTACTACTAACTGCTGTGTGACTTTAGGCACGCTACTTCATTTCTTTGAACTCCAGTTCCCTCATTCATTTATTCATTCAGCAAATTCTTGTTGAGCATCTATGATGTGTTGTCCTCAGTGCTGGCACAGTGCCCATCTGGTAAGGAAGACCAGGACCATCCCTGGCCTAGTGACCAGTGTGGCCATCTCTAACTTGGAGATGATGATACTACCTCACAGGGTTATTGGGGGACTAATTAGCTCTGAGTCCTGCAGCTGGTAGAGCAGGTGTGTGCCCAGTGCCCGTGCTCTTCCTTAAATGAGATACTAACTCAGACTCTTAAATACCAGAAAGGTCGGTTACAATTGTTATTGTTGTCATCATTATCATTGTTACATAAAACTATTGTGAAATGTGTGATATAAAAAAATTACAGCCTAGGGTTAATGTCTTAAATTAAGGGGTTAAAGAAGTGACTGATGTCCTATTGGCCACCACAGGTGTCCATGACTCCCTTGCCACCTCCTTCCTCCAGAGTTTTTTGCCCCTTCCTTGTGTCTCTGAGTCTTGGTCTGATTCACACCCCTAAGCTCAGCTTCCAGGTACACAAGTCCATGGTGGAAGATTCTCCTTCTGTAGAGCTGGAGAACCCCTGCCCTGGGGGTTTTCCCGTTCACTGAGCTGGGTGGGCTGTGGCTGGTGGGGTATGGTCACCTGATTACTTCTTCTTCCCAGGAAGTGGATCCCATTGAAAGCCACACCTTTGCCACCAGCACCCTCACACAGTTCTGCATCCTCTTCAAGAGGACCTTCTTGTCCATCCTCAGGGACACGGTGAGGCATCAAGTTGTGCGAGAGGAGGCTGGCATAGGCCTGGCCTTGTGGGCTGTGGGATCCAAGCAGTGGGGGTAGAAATGGAGACCCTCCCTCTGCAGCACTCCCCCAATGCACCTGAGGGTCTATGTGCCTGTGAGGGCAGCTCTGAGTTCCTACTCCAGTGTGGCCTGCCCTTCCCTGGCCTGTGACACACCCCTGTCTTGGTGCTGCCCTCCCCACAGGTCCTGACTCACCTACGGTTCGTGTCTCACGTGGTGATCGGTGTGCTCATCGGTCTTCTCTACCTGCATATTGGCGATGATGCCAGCAAGGTCTTCAACAACACCGGCTGCCTCTTCTTCTCCATGCTGTTCCTCATGTTTGCTGCCCTTATGCCAACTGTGCTCACCTGTGAGCTGAGCTACCCTGGTTGCGGGGCCTGGGTGTGGGTGCTGGAGTACGGGGCAGGTGCCAGGGTGGCGGCCAGCTGTGTGGGCCTAATCAGCTTGTGTCCTCAGTCCCCTTAGAGATGGCAGTCTTCATGAGGGAGCACCTCAACTACTGGTACAGCCTCAAAGCGTACTACCTGGCCAAGACCATGGCCGATGTGCCCTTTCAGGTAAGCCTCTTCCTCCTGCCTCCACCTTGCCTTGCTCCCTCCTCCTCGTTTGCTTGCCCCCCTCAACCTTGTCACTTCCCTCATGTTCTTTTCCTTCTACTCACTCAGGAAATATGTGATGAGTACTTACCACACACCAGGCTCTGTACCAGGTCCTAGCCGCATAGCAGCAAACTAGACTGACCTTGTGAGACTTATGTTTTATGGGAACAAACAAAAAATGATGGCCGGGCACAGTGGCTCATGCCTGGAAGCCTAACATTCTGGGAGGCCTTAGGCAAGTGGATTGCCTGAGCTCAGGACTTCAAGTCCAGCCTGAGCAAGAGTGTGACCCCATTTCTACTTAAAAAAAGAAAAGAACAGAACAATTAGCTGCATATTATGGCAGGTGCCTCTAGTCCTAGCTACTCAGGAGGCTGAGACAGGAAGATTGCTTAAGTCTAAGAGTTTGAGGCTGCTGTGAGCTATGATGCCATGGGACTCTACCCAGGGTGACAGAATGAGACTCTGTCTCAATTTTAGTACATGTGCTGCTGAAGCGAGCACATGAGACTGTCAGAAAGAAAGAAAGAAAGG